ATCTTTCCTCGTCTTGCGGCAAACCCCACAACAACCAACCTCCCACGATACCTCAAACACCCAATCCCACTCTCCACAGCCCCAATCCCATCATACACGACATCCACCCCCTCCCCACCATTCCCCAACGCCTTAACCCTCGCCTCCCACCCCTCCTGCCTATAATCAACAACCTCATCTGCACCAACACTTCTCACAACCTCAGCCTTTTCCTCACCCCCCACAACAGCAATAACCCTCGCCCCAACCGCCTTGGCAATCTGCACAGCCATGACACCCAACCCGCCACTCGCACCGAGCACGAGAACAGTTTCCCCGGCTTTGAGTTGCGCAACTGAAATCAAAGCGCCGCAACTCACCGCACCGCTTGCGCCAACGGCGCAGGCTTCAGCGTTCGTCCATTGCGAGGGGACGCGGCGGATGGAGGGTTCAGAGACGCATATTTGCTCTGCGTAGGCGCCTAGGCCGCCGCCGAAGACGCGGGTGCCGGGTGGGAAGAAAGAGGAAGGGGGGCTATGGGTTATTATGCCGGCGTATTCTGTGCCGAGGATGAAGGGCGGTTGAACATGTCTGCGGTTGTTTTGGTGCAGGCCTTGGGCGTAGAGGAGGTCGACGTGGGTTGCGGCTGCGTGGGTGATTTTTACGTGAATGTCTTGTGACGATTTTGAGGATGGATTTGAGATGGGCGTAGGTTTGAGATCTGTCACGTTCTGTAGATTGCCATGGTTAGGGAAGATGATGTAGGCGCTTGTGTGAATGGCTTACAGAGACGAATTTGTCGACGTGGATGGCCTTCATCGTTGCGGATCAACACATGAAATGTCAATTGCAATCTAGCGGCGTATCGTTACACATTAAAAATTGAAGTATTGCAGTAAACAACGAGAGTAGTACATGCACCATATGCGACGCGTCTACAGGTGTGGGGTACGACGAATTGCCGAGGTTTGACTGGATGCGCGACTCTGATGAAGCGGCAGCAAAGGAAACGAAGATTATGAGACAATGAGCAGTTGTGATTAGGTGGGATTATTCAGTGATCCGGTATTATACATGCACTCGATTCTCTTGCCTCGCTTGATAGGCTAAAATGGGCCATACGCGGTGTGCATCCTCCACGAGCAAATACAAATACAGAACAAGAAGCGCAGAAGCTCCCAGTGGAGCCCTCCCGCATCGCGAAGCCATTTCCGCATTCTGTTTCTAGCCACGCATTCACGTACCCGGAGCCTGATCATCCACCTGTCCCAGAGCCATGGACGCCTCATCGCGGGCCTTCTGACGCCGCATGTGCCATTTCTCAACGTCCGACATAGGTTTCTTGGCCTCGAACGACTTCCGACCCTTTTGCGCCGCCATGTGAGCTTTCGTCCAGACAGCCGATATAGCGATGAGGGTGACGAGACCTAAAGAGGTCCAGTATACAATGTGGAACTCCTTCAACAGGTGCTGTCCCCCCGTCGCCGCCGGTGCCTTCTGTTGTAGAAGCGTGCTCGGTTCGGGATGAGATGCCGCCGTCATGGGGATTTGCTGTGGTCTGATGACGGGTCCGAGAAGAAGGTTTGAGATCGGGGCTTGTCGACCGAGGATGCTGAGGAGCTCTGTCATGGATATGTTGAGGCCGCTACTCAGTGCGTCGAGTACAAGCATCTTGTCCAGTTCGGGGTCCTGAGACATACTGCCGTCGCTGAGTGACTGCACCTGTTAGCGCGTGTTTGTAATGAGCTGTCATAAGCTTGCCTTATCAGGTGGTGTCTACGCAATCGATCATGCGTGAGCATACAGTTGTCAGGTTGGCTGCTTGGGGAGACTAAACAGAGCTCTGAAAAGATACGACAAGGGAGGAGCCACCTCGGTGTCAGACCACTTGCTTGTCGTGACGGAAGGAACCAGCGCGATCGGTGAGATCGATTGTTAATGAATGGGGAAAGAGCTACCACATCGGCCATCCAGTACCAGACAACATGCTGGCATTGAGGACATTATTGTTCAACAAGCCTTCTGAGGGCAGATAGTCCATCAGGTCTTCGAAGCCCAGACTGTCGATATCGAAATTCCACGTGGTCGGATCGGCGAATGTTGGTTGAACCTCAGAATCTAGAGGCAGCTGTTGAGTCGCACGGTCAGTGTCCGGCATGGGAATACCAGCCGTATTGCCGGGAATATAGGAACAGGTTTGGGTGGTTGCTGTGTCCACTGATAGTGTGGACCTTTGGCTTGATCCATCTCTGAGCTTCTCATACTCTGCCATGAGCGACATGAGCAGACGCACGCCGTGCACTGCAACACTTGACGTGTGAAACAGTTGCAAGCACCTGATAGCTCGCGTGACATGTAGATGGCACTCTTGTGCCTCCGCGTCTGCTTCAGCACGATGAAAGAGCTCCAGAATGAGGCAAATACCTGCGGTGATGATGAAAGCTTGTTCAACCCACCACTGCGGCTCTTGCGCATCTCGAGTGGTGTACAAGCTGATGAGACTCTGCGCTGCGCTCATACAAGCCCACCGGCTGTATGTGTAGCGGACGTCCTTGAAGCTCTTGCTCAAGAAATTTTGATGGACTGATGATACGTGACAGAATTAGTATAGATCTTTGCACAACTCATGATGGTGAATACCCACTCATAATGATCTTATGATGCGTCGATGCGTGGTGCAGCCGCTTCGCCCAAACGACCCATTGTGGCCAACTGGGATCGTGCGCTACCCGAGGAAGAAGATATCTTGGCAGCTTCTCCGTACACAAAGTACGCATTTCGCCATCAAATCTGAGGATTGTGGCATATTTGATAGCGTCGTCTTTGTCCTCGAGTTCCACCATAGCGTTATGAACGTCGAGAAGTAACGCAGCGCAGTCAAAGGTCCATTTGGCGACACCTACGATTGTTGGAATTTCTGTGTCGGCGATGGGCGTCATGGTTTCTTCGTCCAATTCGCGTGGCCTTGTGCTCGTGAAATGCCGCCATTGGAGTGTCAACGTGTAAGAGGCGGATGAAGTACAACACAGCCTAAAGAATAGATGAGTGAATTGTACATGAATCGCCTGAACTGTGCTTTAGACGTACCACTCCTGGCATACAGTCCCATACCATACCCTACGGCCAATTTCACGCTCGATGAATGCTTCTTTCTGTCTTGCGTCCAGTTCAGTTATTCTATCGTCGTCTGGATGGGGCCCAAGTCTGCTTGATCAGTTACGAGAGTCCGTATCTCAGGAATCTATGCCACCTACTTGTGCAAACCAAGCCCTTTCGCAATGACTACCCCCACACTACGGAGAGCGATCCATTGATTACTTGAGCCAGCTAGATGTTCATACGCGTGCATGATATGAATTGTCTGTACCGAGTGAATACTGTATTGCGATGTATAATTCCCAAGGTTCAGGCATGAGATCGATGCTCCGCCCCATACGCGTGCCAGCTGGACTTTTTCGTCAACCGAGAAGCCCCAGGACGTCGAAGCTATTTCTGAAGAGCCGATGATACTGGATGAAAGAATTGCGACTACAAGATGGGAATTAGTAACTTTAGTATCGACCGAGAAGATTGAGTCTGGTCACCGTAACCTTCGCATTGACGGCATATCAAGTAAGGTAGGCCTGCATCATTCGAAATGGAGGTAAACTTACACAAGAGGGCTACCCATGTCCAGTCAAGGTCTTGCAGAGCAAGCTCACACGACTGACCATACGCTTGAAGCAGCTTCTTTCGAAAGCTTGGCCCATGGTAGATGCCGCCGTGCCAGTACATCATGTACTGTTCGTAGTACTCCACAATAAGCATTAACTTTTCTCTCGGCGGCAGAATCGACTGCAGATACTGTGTCTCCACTATCCTCGCTGCAGCCGAGTAGCAGCTCGCAATAGAGGTCGACCCGTTCGGTCCATCTCGTGGCGATCGTTTCGACCGGGCGTAAGAAAAGCTTTTGTCGAAACGGCTTTGATTGGCGTCTGCATCTTTCTCTTCCAATATAGCGCTAATCGTCATGTCGGGCAAACCGGTTCGCCAGACTGCTTCCTCATGCGGCTCGTTCCGACCCGATTGAGACCCTGCCGTTTGTGGATGGATTGGGGGTAGCGCGACCTGAGCATTTGCATCGGGAGACGGGCCAGATGTAGATGTGTCGCTTGAACCGGCTGCCGAAAGCTTCCGGGGATATTTGCGATGAACATTTGGGTTGTATCCGTTCACCCATTTGGTCGTGCAAAGATGACCTTCATTGTTTTGCACGCATCTTGCACAAGGTGCCTTTCGATCGCATTTCTGCCGTCTCTGAGAGCACCGCGTACAGGTTTGGCGCTGCTTGGGCATGATAGGCTGCTCAGTAATCTGTATGTAAGAGGCCTATGCAGTCGTACAACACCCTTGGCTTCGTCTTTTGCTTGTTTGGTGGCACTTGTTTGTACGACTACCTAGGTACGAAGGAACGAGTCTCAAGGTCGACGGGTGTTTTTAAGCGAATACAGATTAAATTGAGTAGCGTGCAGTGCGTACAACGGCGGAAGGTCATGAAAGCTGATGTACGAGGCCATGTGCGAATCGTACAAACCTTCGTACAACGAACAGCCCGTGCTTCCTCAGACTAGACGCTCTGACCACGCTTCAATGTGGGTAGGCTGATGATTAACGTTTGCCAAGAACCTTGGACGCGTCGACATGGTTGATAATGTGTAGTGACAGAGTGTAGGAAGCTGCGACACTGCTGGGTGTTATCATGAATCGACGGTCCGTGCACTCAACCCCACGGACCCAGTTCGGAGTTAAGGATATCTCACGCATACACGTGGAACACGAAGTGAGTTTCAAAAGGCACGAGGGCACAACAGAGCTTGTATCGTACATTGCTGCTCATAAGCTGTTGAATCTTTACACGCAACGATATTCAAGATCGTCCTGATTTCTACTTAGAATATTCTTCAAGATAACTACGCATTCGTAATGAAGCACATCCGTCATCCCGTAGTGTGGGCAAAGCTTGATTCTGATTACGCATGCAACTAAACTAGTGCAAGCACCTTCCATCCTGCAATATACATTCTCGTCAGTATATACATGCTTGCTCCCGCCATCATCATGACACCAGAGAAGACGTTCAGCCCCCAGTACTTTCCATTGTTTTGGACGACGATAGCTCCTGCAATTGGATTACCGATCAAACCCGCAATTGAGATGCAGGCGAAGACAACACCAACACGGATCCCAATCTGTTCGACCTTGGAAATATAAGCGATCTGGGCAGGCAACAGTGACACGAAAGCACCGGAAGCGAATCCGTAGAGGCCGGCGAATGTAATGAATGCCGCGTTACTTGATGCGGGGATAGCCAGGGCAAGGACCAGAATGCCAGCTACGAGGCACCAGAGTGACTGCATATTGAACTTGCCAACCTTGTCCGCGAGGGCACCGGGAATGATGCGACCGAAGATACTAGCGGCGTTGAGAATAGCTAGAAGATATCCAGCCAAGGTAGTCGACATTCCAGCGGCCATCGCTTGAACTTCGATGAAGTTGATGGGTATAACTAAGTCTGAGATTAGTACGCGTCTTATCGGCAGCTCGTACAGGGGGGTAACTTACACAGTCCCATGAAGAACAAAAATGACGCAATCGTCAGTAAGACGAAGCGAATATCACCAAAAGGCTCCACAAACACCTTGAACTCGAACGTTCTGGGTTGTGGCGGTAGGCGAGATTTGACAGTGAGGAAAGCGATAGTCATCATGCCGAGGATGAGGAAGCCAAACGTTCTCATTGTCCAGCCATAGCCGATTTCGGGGATGAGGTGTGTTGCCATAATAGGGAAGATGATGCCGCCTAGTCCACTGCCAGCTGCCATGACCCCGTATGCCAGGCCTCTCTTCTTCAGAAACCATGTAGGAATGGTGCTCGTTCCTGCCTGGAAGATACAGTTCAGACCTAGAGGGCTGCAGATTCCTTGGGCGAGGATAAATTGCCAGTACTCGGTGCATAGGCTGGTCATCATTAGACCAAGCACATGGAACAAAGTGCCGAACAACAATATGTACTTGGGGCCGTAGTTGTCGTAGAGGAAACCGACGATAGGTCCAGGCGCAAACATGACAAAGATCTCGAGAGAAGCGATCCAGGCGACGGTAGACGGCGAGTACGCGCTGAGCTGATTCCGCTGGTAGTAACTTTGGAACACTCCGACGCAGTTTAGCCATCCAAATGAGCAGAAGAGACAGCAAAAGCCTCCGAGGAGACACAGATAGGCGTCTCTTCCGCCATCAGGAAATTGACTAGGATGGAATGGGCTCACGACCGCTGTAGGCTCAGTCGTATCGAGTTGCTTTTCGTCGACCGGTGCTGGCAGTTGTTCAACATCGGATTGGGGAAGTCGTGACTTTTCCTCGTGCAAAGACGCCACTGAGCTTGTGGTCTGTGACATGGTATTAGGCGGTAGTGATAGGGCTGAAAGTTGAGAGTGAAGGAGTTGATGAAAGGAAAGCTGGGCTAGGCCATGATTAAGTAGTGAATGCTTGAGGTTGACATGGAGAGGCGTAGCGGCGCCTCGCTCCTTTACCATGGAATCCGTATGATCCGCATATTCGATATCAAGCTATTATTGGGGTAGGTTTGCATGTAGGCCTGCACGCCTGTTCGCGCTCGGCCTCGCCTTTGACGCAGACCGACGTGCCGAGCCAATGGCGAGATATCTCACAACATTCGCATTACCACAACAGCGAAGGCAGCAGCGGGACGGGAGTCAGTGACCCACATTTCAGACGGTCAATTCGGTCTTTCGAAGAGATTTGCTGGCGAGTGCGGTGTTGGAAGGATCTCGCTCTTACGCGCGCGCGGGAGACGCGTAGGAGATGTCGGAGATGATGGCATCTCCGACCCGCGTCCGACACGGGACCATCATACTGAAGATGCATCCTATATGTGCGTGCGGCCACCCAGACATGAATTTTCACGATGGGTACGTGTGGATCATCCTTCTGCGCTCAAATCAGCAATCGCTTCCATGAGTTGGCGCCCTGGCAAGATGCGCAGGGCATTGACGACGCATAGCTTGCGAGTGACTGCAATTGTTGATCGACGAGTGTGAATATAGCAAAATAGCGAGTAGGCCATTTTCACGGTGAAGTCAGTCAAGAGTCGTCAGGTCGAGGCAGCGATGGAGGTGAAATCTGGAGGTGCAGGACAGGTTCGCTTGATCGGGCAACGACGCACAGACTTGGTTCCTTCGCATTTTGCCTTCCGAATCAGTGTGGTCCTCACTAGCACTCTTGCTTGAACGCGCACAACAACCAGCCCACGCCCAAGCCCCGACTACCTAGGTACCCTGAATTCATCCCGATCATCTGCTGGGGAGCTTCGCATATTCGGCCATCTACACCCGCGCATCGCCATCTCATCGCCCGCCTATTCCTGCATCTCCACCGGATTCCATCCCATTTCAGTGCACACGGCCCGGTACGCGCAACTAGCCCGAGGATAGCTTTTTACTATGCTAACGTCGACTTGCTGTCTTAGCATCTAGGCGCCTGTCCTCTGCTTCGCGTATCTCATCCCCCACCACACTCCGCGCAAACTCGACGCAATTCGCCCTCCATCCCGCCGCATAACCTCGCCGTCACCCGCACATTGAAAATGGCATCCACCGAGTCATCCGGCCCCGTCAACGGCAACTACGCGCCGCAGCAGTACGAGAACAGCTACTCCACCGGCGCCTCCAACTTCACACCCTCGCAGCAGCCCACGCCCAGCCAGCCCGCACAGCAAGCCGCCGCCTCAGAGATCCCCAAAGACGAGGTCGGCTGGTACTTTGTCGAGCAGTACTACACCACCCTGAGCAAGAGCCCGGACCGACTCTACGTAAGTCGCACGCGGCGGGAAGGCTTTTCTTAGTGACCACGCGACTGACCCAACTTGCAGCTGTTCTACAACAAGCGCTCCCAGTATGTTTCCGGCGTCGAGGAGGACAAGGTCAACGTCTGCCTAGGCCAGAAGGTAAGTGAAGAATGCTTAATTGCAGTCGATGCATGCTGACCCGCGTCTAGGCCATCAACGAGCGCATCAAGGAGCTCGAGTTCAAGGACACCAAGGTCCGCGTCACCAACGTCGACTCGCAGGGCTCCGATGCCAACATCGTCATCCAAGTCATCGGTGAGATCTCCAACCAAGGCCAGCCCCACAAGCGCTTCGTGCAGACCTTTGTCCTCGCCGAGCAGACCAACGGTTACTTCGTCCTCAACGACATCTTCCGCTACCTTGCCGACGAGCCTGAGGAGGATGAGGACCAGCAAGAGCAGGCCGCGCCCCCCAACGGTGTCACGGAGCCCGCTCCCACCGCTGCCGTCCCCGAGAATGCCGACCTCAACCAGAGCGACGAGATCGCGACCAGCGAGGAGGACCTGAACAAGGTGGACAACAAGCTACACCAGGCTGCGCAAGAGGAGCCGTCTGTCGAGGAGGTCGCGCCTGCTGCCCCGGCTCAACAGGTTCCAGAGGAGATTGAGCAGCCCGCTGCTGAGGAGGCACCTGCTGCTGTCGAGGAGAAGGCCGCAGAGCCAACCCCCGCCGCTGAGGAGACCGCCGAGCCCGAGAAGCCTGCCGCTGCCGCCCCGGCCCCCGCCCAAAAGGCTGCCCCCGTTGCCATGCCCTCTGGTCCCCCCAAGCCTGCCGCTCCCCGAACTTGGGCCAGCCTCGCCGCCTCGGCACACAAGGTCGCTACTCCCGTCGTCAACGCCCCCGCCGCTCAGCAAGCTCCTTCGCAGCCCAAGGCCGCTGCCGCCGCTCCTGCTCAAGCCGCTGCTGCCGCCCCCAGCCAGACCTCAGCACCTGCTCGTGACCAGTCCCCCGCGACAAGCCAGGGCGAGGCTGCTGGCTGGCAAACAGCCACTGGACACAAGAAGGAGCAGTCCCGCGCACAGAACGCAGGACCTGCCGCCGACCCCGACCAGAAGCGCGCTTACATCAAGAACGTCTACAGCCAAGTCGACGACGCTGCTCTGAAGACTGCCCTGACCAAGTACGGCGAGATTGAGTACCTTGACATCAGCCGTGGCAAGGTAAGTAAATGTGCCTCTCCACATTGTACCTCGACTGACATTTTGCAGAACTGTGCTTTCGTCGACTTCAAGACACCCGCTGGCTTCCAAGCTGCCGTCGCAGCCAACCCCCACACGATCAACGGCATTGAGATCAAGGTCGAGGAACGCCGCCAGAACCCCGGCCAGTTCAACAGGGGAGGAGGATTCCCTCGTGGCGGTGCTCCTCGCGGTGGCCGTGGCGGTATGGGTGGTCAAGCACCCCGTGGCAACTTCCAACCTCGGGGACGCGGAGGCCCCATGCGTGGCGGTCGCGGCGGCGCTGCCCCTCAGGAATCATAGGGGGCTCCACGCGCTGCTTACTCCCTCGTTCCTTTTGCCATTCTTCTTCTATCTCTTGTTGAGTCGGTTTGACTCGATGGCCTCACGACTGACGGCTTTAGCCATGTACTGTACCGACCCCCTTTCAGCGCTTGTATAAAAGTCATTTCATTTCGAGGAAAAGTCTGGGCGTACGCGTTCGTCTTAGGGCTCTGAGCCCTTGCATAGCGAGTGGTTTCGTTTCTGCATGTTTCCTTTCTGTATTCGTGTATATCCGTTCAGCCGTTTTCGAACATATTCCCTTCTTCGCGGTCGCATTCTTCGTCAAGTAATGTTTAGGGAAGGCTATCTGGGGGTTCCTGGGTACGGGCTAGGGATGTCATTGCATCTGGTGTAATGGGTGTACAGCATAGCTTCGGCGACAACAAGATCGGACGGGGAAGGGCAGTCAAATCGTGAGATGATCTGGTACGAATACAATAAATGATATACGCTCCAACACGGTGTAGATGTACTAGAGTGAGGTTGTCTGGTGATTGCTGATAACGTCACCTGATAGGTATAGTGCGACGCGGGATGTGCCTAGTGCTGCGCTGACCGTTGATTCGAAGACGCGCAATCACCTGCATCAGCAACAGCCCATAAGCTTCAAGCCGCGCCAACCTGCGTTTCGTGCATACGAAAGACTCGTACCCTGATACCCTGATAATCCAGCTACTGCTCTTCCTCACACTCCACTTAATTAACGCTGGCGCATTATCACGAGGCTAAGGTCGCAGTAGATCGCGCGGGGCTAAGCGGGGCCGTCGCGCGACGTGCATCACATCACCACTCGGTATCTACTGAAGCTGACCAAGACTCTCGCTTTCAACCCGCTGTACTCACCTACTCTGCAACATATGCCCCAGGAGCTCTGCAAACATGCGACCGCTACCGGGCGGCGACGCCCTACCTGCTACTGTTCGGCCGCGATCTCGTAAATCAAGCGTCGATCATCCTACCGCCCCTTCGAGCAATGTCCCCACTACCTTCGTCATGAAGCGCGTCGGGGATTTGGAGCACACCATGGCTCCTCCTCACAGCGCGACTGCTCCAGCAAAGCAGCAGGACAGTACATTCGGAGTACAGAGTCTTGCAGATACTTTGGAGGCTGCTTTCGGCCCAGAAGGTACAGATCCAGAAAAGGCTATTAAGACGCAGCATCATGGGGCAAAGAGTTCAAGATCCGAGTCGCATAGCTCTTCGACAGATTCAGCCACACCGCCAGACAGATCCAAGATAACTTCGGTACGGAAACTGAGGAGAAACTACACGAAAAATGACTCGATTACACACTTCAAACTTCCCGCCGCCAGCGTCGACGTTCCTTCCCCACTCCCCACGTCCGCTATGGGGAGCACACCAAGGTCCGCTTCGATAACGTCGCTCAAGCTGTCCGATGAGGAGTTTGCCATGGATGATGCTGCGAGCCAGGCCGTTGTTTCGAGTGGAGAGGAGGAAGAACAGGTAGAGATGCAGCAGGACATGGCGAGCTTCCCACAGCTGGTCATGCCTGAGATGCAGATGCCAACCAGGAGGCCATTCACAACCAGAGGCAAGGCTATGGGAAAGCTGAGAGTTATGGTGGCGGGCGAGACAGGTGCGTTATAGTCGCAACATGCGATATCATCTCGGTAGAAAGCGCTATACTGACAAGCACTATGCAGGTGTCGGCAAATCGTCCCTCATTCGATCCATCGTTCAGGCCTGCGAAGACATCGTACACGTAGATCCTCTATCGCCCTCCCAGCCGAGCGCGCCTTCACGGCCGACGAAGTCGAAATCCCGCACAAAGAAAGCCGAGCATGCGGTCACAACCCGGGTGACTGAGATACATGCGAGCACGAAGCCTTACCCTCATTGGTGGACTGATACCGAAGAGAGCGGCATTCTGCGGAGAAGAAAGAGCAGTATGGATACTGTCTTGGAGAGAAACATATGTTTCGTAGACACGCCTGGGTACTCGCAAGGCTCTTCGGAGAAGGACATGAGCATGGTGATAGACTATGTCGAGTCGCTGTTATACCAGACC